ATTCCTGCTCCTGCCCTGCTCTCTGCAGGGAGGGTTGGGCAGGAAGCTAGAGCTTTTGTGAGGCTCTTGAAGCAAATAAAGGTCAAGAGGGTGTTTTAAACCATAACTTTCTCTCTGTCTTTGTCTTGCAGTCAAAGACCCCTGCTCTGGTTTTTGAGTACATCAATAATACAGATTTTAAGGTGAGTCTGGCTGCTTGAAGAGGGGGGAGGCTTCCCATTTCTGTGCCTGTGGTGACTGGATATGCCTTGAGGGGCTGAGAGGGGATTTGGCACTTGTCCCCTGCGTCAGCTTTGCCTTCCTTCCCTGGCTTAAATGGGAAACTTGTGAGGTTACTAAATCACTGCATCTCCTCGTGGCTTTGAAGAGGTAAGTCCAGGAGGGATGATCAGATCTGCTTATGCCCTTCCCGACTGAGCCATTACTCTTGTGCTGTAATTCCAGCTCCGCGCCGCTCCTCCCGGCAGCGCATGTGGTGGAGAGGGTTCCTCTGCTTTGTGCCCAGCTCCCACAGACCTGGGCCTGGAGAGCAGCTCTCCCACTCCCCATGGGCCCGAGGACAGGCCTAAAAGACTCTTAGAAGCTTTTCTCCCATCCCTGGCTGCAATTGGAAGGCTCCCTTCCAATTTCTGGGGAGCTCTGGTCAAATTACGTGTTTCCGAGGTGGGATCCTTCTGGCCGAGTGCAGCAGTGCCTGGTGCTCTGCTGTGAACACTTCTGGCTGGCAGAAGCACCTTGCTATGCGAAAGGGACATGTAATTAGCAACCACACCAGTTCTGATGATATCTTTGCTTCCCCTTGTGACGTTTTGCCCTAAGTTATGAAGCCGGTGCTGGTGAATTAATTGAGCAGTTGTCCTTAGAAAGCCAGTGTGTGCCGCGTGCTACTCACAGACCCTCTCCTTATTACAGAGTGACACTTTTTATTTCATCGTCCTCCCTGCAGCCTCGTGTCAATGGACACGCTGTCGCTCAGCGCGTGCCCTGAGCCCCGCAGAGGGGCTTGTGGTAGGAAGGAGGGGGTTTGTGGCCGGCCCCGGCGTCGAGAGGCGCTCACAGCCCCTCGGAGCCGCTCTGCCGAGCTGGGCGCCGCTGCGCGGGGCGCTGAGCACAGCCGGAGCTGGACCCTTCCAGCCCTGCTGTTTTTAGTGCTGTTAATGCCCCGCAGAGACCGGGGTAATAGTAACCTGCAGCATGTCTGCCCTGACAGCTCTGGGCGGGGGGATAAGCGTTACCCTGGCAAGTAAACAGGAGTGCTACGTGGTGACCTTTGGGGGCTAATTAAAGCAGCCTTGTTTTGTCTGCGGTATTCCTGTGCCTTGGGTGCCTCTGCTTGTCCTGGTGACCCAAGGAGGGAGGCTGATGTGGGAAACTCTCAACTTTCTGCTTAGAATTATTATTTTTTCAATATGTATTGAAACCAAATGGTTTCCTGGGGCCGTGGGCCAGCTCACTGAGCATCGCTTAGTGGCACAATCTAAAGGCGCGCGGTGCTGTGTCCTTAGAGAGGAAGAAGCGTCCTCCAAGGTGCCCCCCAGCACCTAGGTGTGTCTGTGGGTGCTGAGCGGTGCCCGAGCCTGGTGGCCAGCAGCGGTGCTGGTTGGGGGGCAGCGCTGCCCTCGCTGCCGCGCGAGAGCCGGTGCGGACACTCTTGCGTCCCTTCGGAGCACTGACCGGAGGGAGGAGGCGTGCTGGGTGCTGGCGCGTCCGAAAGCAGCACTGTTGTTGTGTAGGAGCTCCTTGGAGAAGACCTGGCTCTTGAGGAACTGCCAGAATCACAACCGTGGGAGTCCCAGGCTGAGAGAGCTGATGCTTTTTTGCTGACGCTGATTGGTACAAGACAGGAAGAACTTGTCTTGGGAATGTCGTCATGTCCCCCGGGGCATGCTCCGAGTTTGTCATTCACTCGTCTGAATTTCACTGGCTGCGTGTGGACCGCGTGGGTTATTTGAGCTTGCCCGCTCCCCACCGTCTGGCTGGGGAGGTTTTGGGGGCCGCAGGGAACCAGTGGCTTGCAGAGGGTGACAGAGCACTGGAACAGGCTGCCCAGAGAGGTTGTGGAGTCTCCTTCTCTGGAGATCTTCCAAACCCACTTAGACGCAGTCCTGTGCCACATGCTCTGGGTGACCCTGCGTGTGCAAAGGGGTTGGACTAGATGATCCCTAGAGGTCTCTTCCAACCTTAAGCGTTCTGTGATTCTATGAAAACTGCTGCAAGCACCTGGGGCATCCTTGATGCTGAGGCCTCTGAGCTGTTTCTTCACTTGCTCGGCGCGCTTTCCACTTGGCATCACTCCAAAATAGACCAGTTGTGTTAAAGGCCTTGGCTTGGTCCAGCCCTCTACACATGAGAGCATCCAGTGTCACGTTGTCTCTGCTATTGCCCCTGCCATCCTTCTGTTTCCTTCTGCTTCACAGTCCTGGTTTTCCCATCTCAGGCAGTCAAGTTTTCGTGGGATTAACTGCCCCCTGAGCTAACCCTGGTGTGACAGGGACCTCTTCTCTTTGTGTCGAGGTGGTAGCTCTTGATCCACCCACCTCTGCGTTGGCTTCAAGACTCTCTGCAATGCTGGTGAGAACCATATGTCTCCTTCGAATCATCTTCAGGGTGTGTGAAGGGTTCCCAAAGTGATTCCCAAGGCGGCCTGTGTACAACAGGTGACTGCCAGCTACCTTGGAGGACGGCATTATTCCCTCTGTTCTGTTTGTGATAATTGTTTCCAAGGTTGGATAATCTCCTTATCGGTTGTGTCCTTCCTGGCAGAGTTGCTTTTCATGATCAGAAGCAACCTTTTTGGTTAATGATATCTCTTTCCTCTCTTCAAAGGGCACTTGTTGCTGTTGATGTCTGTGCAGTTGTGAGAACAGCAGCCAGGTTCATTCCACGTGGACAGAAGCTGCTGTTTTATCAGTTCTGTCAAGACTGTGGCTACAGACGACCCTCATCATCAGTGCAAACTCGTATTCATAGAATGCTTAAGGTTGGAAGGGACCTCTAGAGGTCATCTAGTCCAACCCCCTGCACACGCAGGGTCACCTAGAGCACGTGGCACAGGACTGCGTCTAAGTGGGTTTGGAAGATCTCCAGAGAAGGAGACTCCATAACCTCTCTGGGCAGCCTGTTCCAGGGCTCTGGCACCCTCACTGGCAAGAAATTTTTCCTTAAGTTCCTATAGAATTTTTGGTGCTTCAGTTTCCGGCCATTTCCTCTAGTCCTATCAGTGGCCACCACTGAAA